GGGGGGGAAGAAGCAGGGGAATTCTCCTTCATTTCACATTTACCAGCCCCAACATGATGTGTCATCTTTCATTATTCTTTTCCAGTAAAGTTGCTGACATGAATGATTTTTCTATCATTTAGAGTTTAGGGAAGAGAGTACCCAAAATGCTGTCAGAATTGGAAAAATCATTTTATTCCACTGGCACATGCATTATTGCATTGAAAAGCAATACAGCAAAGCAGACTTGAGGGCTGCCCTCAGGGAAGGTCGGTTGATCACACATCCCTCAGTTCAGGAATTTAAAGGAGCTTAGAACATGCAGTACAATAGCAGTAAACACCTTGTGAGAGAGGCACACTCAAAAGTATGTTTGTGATCCAATCTGCAGGGTGGAGAGACTAGACTCTTTATACAGCTTCAGCGATTGATCCTTGAGGGGAGAGTGCTGCTACACCAGTCACTAAGTAGCCTTTTAAAGACACATTAGTGGCAGCTTTGTAAGAAGCAATATACTTCACTAAAAGGAAAATAATTTGTTCACGGTTAACATCTCTTAGTTTAGAGTATCAGCTAATGAGTTGAAAAAAAACCAAAGCAAAACAAAACTTTAATTGCAAAGGGAAGTAGTTTATGTTTGCTAAATTCGGCTTGTTGGTCAGCATGTCAGCAAGGTTGTCTTAATTTCTTCTGTGTGAGAGACAAAGTAATCCATCTATGCAGCAGTCCAAAACATTACTTTTATAATCTGAGGGATATTGAGTCTTTGAAACCTTTTGATGCATGTTTTAATTCTACACAGAAAGATATATTAAAGCATGGTAGTTCTTAGGTACATATAACTCATGCTGGATGAATTCTACATTTACTTACCCATTTAGAGTTGCATTAAATTAAGTCAAGTTGGGAACAGAACTGATTGTTAAAAACTTGTCACATTTGCATTGGTGTTGATAAAAAAATAAACTCACGGCACTAAACTGTGGTCTCAAGCTGCCGTCAATTAACACCACTGAGTATTCTTGGGAGATGCGACTATATAGCAAAGGGTAATTTTTTTTTAATTGTTCATTCAAGGCAGTATTACATAAAAGTTTGAAATAATTTTTCCTTTCATCTACAAAGAAAGTATATATGCTGTCTTCTGGCCAGAAATATGTGGCAGTTTACCATTCGTTTCTCTGTGATTAGTATGTTATAGTCACATACAGTGCTGGGATTACAAAATAAAGAGTACAGCAGAAACCTCATAAAAGTAATAGGTATTCTTCTTGTGCGTGAGGTTTTATCTACTTCTCTACGTGCCTTGAGAAGAGATTACAATGTGCCTCTTTGTCTTCAGAAGGACAAACAATTAAAATTGTTGTAGTAGTAACTTGATAGGAACCAACTTTGGGGATAATAACAGAGAAATACTGTCCTACAGCATCATAATCAAAAATCTTCTGGGGAGATTTTGTTGCTCTGAAAAAAATATAATATATTGGTATGGATAAATATGAACAATATTAATCTCCCCCTACTATTCACCATTCACTTGTTTTTGCTATATTTTTAAATGTCTTTCCCAAGTGACTTGAAAAGCATGATGCATACTTATTGCTAGGGATAAGGAAGACTAAGTGGTAGAAAGAGATCATTATAATGGCTTAAAAATATAAGGCACCTTCTGAATACAAGTATCATGACAATGGCAAACCCAGTGAAAATACTGTCTGACATTCGCATGGAGTGCCACAGTATTTTCTGTGATTCATTTACATATTACCAAACACCATCAATGATTCATTCAAAAGGGAACTTCTGAAAATGGACCCAGAGTGGCATCCTGGTCTTTCACATCCCTAAACCAAACGTACTAAGCAAAAATAAGACTAGTTCTTGTCTTTTCTTAAACCTGCTATACATGTTATTTCCAAAACATGTTTTGCAGTTTACCAACTTCTTGGCATACAGATACAATGGTTGTGTATAGGATGGTGACTAAATCTCTTCAATAATAACAAAGTGTTTGTTTTATTTCAGCGTCATCCTTTAAAAATAAGCAGCAAATGTGCTTATTTTAATGCTCAGATGAGCTTCTAATCAAGTTTACTTCAAAGTTCATAGTTAAGGTGTAGTCATATTTATGTATGATCTCTGCTGTTTGTTTATTAATTATCACAGTAAGAGTGAAGGGTAAATTTTGAGCTGTTGAAATAGACTCAGTGGTCTCTTTTATTAGTAAATGTTTTTTATACAAAAGCTCTACATGAGGTCTTGATCCCTCAGCAAACATTCAATGAGAAGCCTTGTAGACAAATAACTGTCAGGAACGGGGTTGAAATACAGTCTCTGACATCACTCTTCGACTGCTTCCTATTACTTAGACGAGCGTCAGTAAAATCCTGTAGTAGGGAAGAGTAAAGATGTTCAGAAAACATATTTATCTCTCCCCACAAGAAGTTCCAGGGTGCCATTCAGTATATAGTCTATAGTTTTTCCAGACACTAAGTCAATTTGCACCAAGTCAAGTTGGACTCTCCCTTTTTTTTAAATTTTCCTTTTTTGCTATAACTCTGCCAAAAAAAACCCAAACCCAGCAACAACAGCATCATTATACAGCCTAAACAGCAGTTTTGATTAAGGGCAAATGAGACAGGTGCATTTAAGCAAAATGTTTTGATTACATTAAACAAAATATATGTATGGTCTGACTAACAAAAGTTAGACCAAACTTTTTACTGAAGGCTTAAAAAGTGAGGAGACAGAAAGAGATTCTTCCTCTTAACCCCCAAAGAGCAAGATACGGTTAGGCAACTGGCTTGAGTTATGAGGAGTTCAACTTCAGCTCTCTCTTCACTAGAAGAGCATTACAGTTTTGCTGAATATTTTTATTTTAATCTTTTCAGCTTTTTTTGTGAGTCTGAACTCTTTCAATTCTCTTGACATATATAGCTCCTTAAGATTCAAACTAATGGAGCTACGAGAAGAATTTGATGTGACATAGTCTACAGATAGAGTACATTAGTCACAATTAAGCCTCTTTATTGAGTACTGGTAAAATATCAATTTTGAGAGGCTGCTGCATCCAAGATTTCTACAAAGTTCAGAAACAAACAGATGAAACAGGGACAAAATCATTCCCAGTATGCACGTTTTTTAAATGAAAAACAATTATTTTTAAAAAATTAATTCAACTCCAACAAGCAATCAAGAACATGGAAGTCCTTGATCATATTTAGTTAAAAGCAGGTATATTTGGAAGAAAATATAAATTAATGTTTTATTTGTCAATTCTCCCCCAGATGGAAGAGCATATTACACACTAAGTATCCCCAAATGTCATGAGCTTTAATGGTTATTATTGACAGAAGTTTTCTTCCCAGTCACTGTAAGAACTCTTACTGTTTGAAAACGTATTTTTAACATATTAAAAAAAAAAAAAAAGGAAAATGTATGTACCAGAATTTGTTAACATTTTGCCTCATTTCTGTGCTAGAAAAGACTGAACTCCAATACTAACCATGTAATAATCAGTTTAAAATTCTGACTAAACTTAGATAAACGTAGCTCAGCTAAGATCAAGGTGATAGATTTGGTGGTAGCGCAAATTTCATCTTTTCTTAAATTTTACATAAAGATAATTTCCTGAAAGCTGGTGAACTACTTGTGTGAAGGCTTCCATTTGATTTACATTGAGATTTACATTGTGTATGAACCACAGTCCCAGTCCTTATCTAAGAACAGTAAGAACATCAGTGGGCCAGACAACATGACAGCATGGAACATCTGCTGCCTGTCTCCACCAAGAAGGATACAAGTATAATGTTCTTGATAGGTACATACCACTTCAAAATCAATGCAAGATCAAATTGTGACTATTTGAATTTCATAACATGGTATTTTGGGCCATGTTTTGTTTTGCTAAAAATGGAGTGTCAGTAGTTCTAGTAAGATAATACAATGTTCAATTTTAAATCCATGCTACCTACTGATCATGTCTTTTTGTATTAAATCTTAAAACATTTTGCATTAACATTCTTTTCTGTCAGAATATTGAGCTTCTGACATAACTTGAGAGATTATTTCAGTAACACCTTTGAAGACTAATTTTTAAATTCACAACTTGGAATATTTACACTTTTCTGCCCCTGGTTTGCCAGTGATCAAGCCCTGTTACTAAAATAGGTCTCCATAAGTTAAGCTAACTGATTTAAGCTTTTTTTTTTTTTTTTTTCCTGAGGTAGACCTAATTCAATAGATTTAAAGTCATTGCTCTTGGGACAATGGGACAATGCAACTATAAATTATATATATATATATTATACAAGACCCTGACATTTTTGTACAGGGTTTCTAACAAAATAAAATAGTTATCTGTTTTTGCTTTATTCCTTGCTTCTTCCTTTTGATGTAGTGGTATCACCTTAAGGTGAGAAAACTGATCTTTGGTTATGTATATGTCTTTTTGTGCAATGTATGTGTGCACTTTCAACAGCATAATTTACATGTACCCTGTCATTAAAATGCATGGTAACTGCACATTGATCTAACATGTGCTGCAAAAAAGTGTTACTGACAGTGAGTCTAAAAGTTTTCTGAGGTCTGAGACAATTTTAATCTCATTTGCTGAGGTGTAAACTTGATATAATTTTACTAAGATTAATAGAACTGCCCTTTGGTCTGTAACTAAGATCTGCTTCTTTCCTTCATTCTCTTTTACTATTAGAGCAAATTAAAAATTTCAATAATATTTCATCTCTGAAATCACTAAAATCTACTTTGTTGAACTGACACATCTTTCAAACAAACAGAGGAAGCTGAAGGAAAGTTGCAGGGTGTTTCAGGAAATAATGGAGAGTTAAAGTTTTCTAGATTTTGCAGAATTGTCTTTG